TCACCAAATCAGCGAGAGAATGGCAAAACCAAGTCTATCAGTGAAACATGTTGTAATCAGCCACTGTCTCTATGCCTCTCTAAAAACATCCCCATCTCACTAGGTTCTCAGTAGATTGGCTGCCGTGCTACAGATCAGCATCTCAACTCTCAGTGCTTTGCGTACTCTCCACTACATCACCGAGCTCCTAGCTCCTAGCTGTTGCCTGAGACTCACAGAGTCTGAGCTTGCTCATCTACACTGTTTTTTTTCTTCTCACTTTTGTGTGTTCCAAGGCCTCCAAGGAGGCAGGACAGGCCCTGGTGGGGAAAGCCGCCAGCCCTCCTTTTGAGAGCCAGCATCATCACCTGCTGCACTGCCTGGAGAAAACCACGGTAAAATCCCTTTTATTTCCCTCAAACTCAAAAGCTGTGTCCACTGGAAAACACACAATCACTTTGGCATCTTTTATTTTTACTATCTTGGTAACAGACTTTACACAGTTTAAAATAGCTTGCTGTAAAAAATAGTTCCTTTTATGTAAAATTGCGTCACTCCTGCAGTCTGTGCTGTATCGTCGGTGGTGCCTGCTTGTTCCAGTGTGTTGCAAATAGAAACAAAGTAGGTTTTTTCATCCATGCACAAACTGTAGAATCTATTTCAAATGCAACATGAGTTAAAAATAGCAGTAAATGGGGCTGGGAAATGTTGAGTCCCCTCGCCAGCAACATGCTAAAGATAACATGACTCTGCCAGCCAGTAACATTATTCCTTCCATTCAAACCAGCCTACTTCATTTTACACTATCTATAATTTAGAGATGTAAGAGCCTCTTTTAATGCTTGGCGGTGACGTGAGTTTTACACTTGCAGCTCTAAACCCTGTACAGAAACATGGACAGGCAGTAAATCAGAGTTCCTCCTCACAGATCATCCTCCCCCCTGTAAAAGACTTGCCTGTCATCTGGGAATATCTCCATTAAGGCTTCACGCCATTCATATGGCTGCGCACATGTGTACATCGGGCCTCTCATGGTGTGCATTACAGATGGCAGAGAGTGGAGAACAAGTGGCAGAGGGAAGCTATAAGAGAGGAGGCATGATTCAGGGAGATGGCACCAGATTCTGCGTGGTGTCACTCTGCCACCTCCTGGCACAGTCTGAAACATACTCGGAGCCTGACCTTCAAGTCATGCTAATTTGTCACAGGGATAACAGTTGTGAATGTTTTCACAGATGGCAGTTAATATGGACATCTGGGCCAATATATTTCTATTCCCTTGATGATTCATTTTCCAATTATTAAACAATTTTGCTGTGGATTTTGTTCAGTCTGTTTAGTCTTTACTGTGAAACATCTTTACTCATTATTTAGCGGAGCCAATCATCGATGTAATTGAGTGATTCATGAGCAATATTGAATCCCAATTTTTCCACCGTCTTCCTCTGCAGAATCATGAATTTGTGGACGAGCAGACGTTTCAGGCCAACTGCATGGAGATCTCTACAGTGAACAAGTCGGGGTCCCGCTCCTCCTCGCTGTCCTCGTCTCCGCACGGCCTCGGCTCGTGCTGCTCCCGACGCCACAGGAAGAAGAGCAGCTTCAGCCTGCCTAGCACAAACAACCAGGAGCTCAGCACCATACAGATAAGGGAGAGGCCGGTGGTCAACAGGTAGTCTGTCTGATTAGCCCTTTTTTCTCTCTCTACATCTCTACATCTCTGTTTCTCTGAGCACACTCACACCAAATACACATATGTATGCAAACTGCTGGTCCTGCATTAAAAGATAAGATAAACTTTACTGATTAAATGGAAAAGCATTCCTGGTTTTGTAACCCGTGATTGTCTTAAAGGCCAGTTCACCCAAGTTATGGAAAATCTTTTTTTTTTTTTTTTTTTTTTTCACCAGTAGGTGTATGTACAGATAGTTTTGGTTTTATTTGCCCTTGTTTCTATCTCTGTATCTGTCTCTGAGATTTCTGCTTCCAACCCAACACAATGGTAGTGAACTGAATTTTGTTAGCGGCGCTTAAAGTAAAACTAAAAAACAACAACACGTCCTTCCACAAACAGTGTTCCCGTCACTCTGGACAATCCACAGAACTATGAATAATTTTCAGTGAAACTACTTTCTGTGCAAGAAATACCCCCTAACCTCTGAGAGAACTGTTGACAGCTTGTTCTGTGGATTATCCAGAGCAACAAGGACACTGTATCTGCAAAGAGAGGTTTCTGTTGGATGTAATTTTGCAATGTTGTCAGCAGCACAAATGAAATTCTATTCACCTCCTTTGCATTGGAGCGCAGCAGAATTCTTAGAGCTGCATATATAAAATATAGGCAAGTAAAACCCTGAACTATCTGTATTTCTTCAGAGCACAAAGAGCAGGTGAGAAAACAAGTCATTTTATGAAGTGGGTGAACTGATACCTGTTTATGTTGGTGTGAAACAGTGTGATTCCTTAGCATTGTATGAGATAATAATAATACATTTTATGTGTGAAAATTGATTTCACGTGCAACAAGACAGAACGTACAGTACACACACACAGGATGATTTTGTACATTATAGACAAAGCGAGCTGCATGTGAGATATACTGTACAAGTATAGTCAGTCTGGACCTTCATATACACAGTTCCCCAATACAGTATATTCTCCATTTACTGACAAAAGCTCCAGAAGTTCTCATTAAAACTGAAATATACCTTATATGAGCAACAGGATCCAGTGTTCGTTTATATATCCCTTCTGTAGAAAGGACATGGATATTTCTTAAGAATGGCTTTTGTAGAATGTAAGGATGTATGAATGGACCCTGTGTAACACAGGCTTTGTGTAATACTTTCACAAGGTCAGGCCTCTCACCCTCTTTCATCCTGTGTTTTCTTTTACAGCCGCTCCAGCCTGAATGCCAAACTCGATGAGACTGTGCCCTTGAAATGTGACGAACCTTACATCACTCCCTCCATGGTCAGCCTGTCTGCCCCGGTGGTGACCTCATCAGACGGGGACGGCTCCACCACCACCACCGCATACTCTCAGAGCAACATTGTCCGAGTATCTGCCTTGTAGATGTCATGCCTATCTTATCAGCTAACTGGTCTCAAGAAGCACCAGATGCTGAGGAGAGGGACCACCGAGCATCAACCTGCCATAATCTAGAGGGATTATAAGATTAGCAGAGGTCGGGGTTTTTTGAAGTAGTGATCTCATCTGATGTCAAACTCTGCATGGTATTAGAATGATGTGGACGGCTGCCTTGGAATAAAAGCGACCAGCAGATCTTGCTCCATTAAGCACAGCAGAGCAAGGAAGTGTTGGGATTGCGTGGTTATCATTGTTGCCTAAACATACTGAGAAAAAATACTTTATTTTTGAATATGTAATGTAGGTGTATTTGTTGTCTTCTGATTCAAAGGAGGAAAGGCAGTTGTTTAAAGGTCACTCTTGATGACCTCTGATGACAAAGCACACATTCATTAACTGAGGGCCATATTTGTGAATATTATATGTACACATTAGAAACATTCACTTCACTCGCTACCCAGTTGAATAGATTGTTTTAAACCCCCACCCCTCCCCCCCAATTATCTGGTTTCTAATAGTCCCCTCACTGTTGTAAATTCAGAAAACGTACATCCACAGGAATGAATAATTGTTGTGAATATTCATTAACTGACTCATTAACTGGTTGATGTCATCGCTTGATGAGTAAAATATATTACGCATCCTGACATGTTTGTGAAATGTGCAAGTGAAAGTCAAAATGACAAAATCTGTGTTAGCTTACATATTTGACATTCTGATATGGATCTATGTGAAAGCCACTGTCATCAATTAACAATTGATACTGAGAAATATACAGGGTACATATTAGTTAGGTCACAAGGTAGAAATATAAGAGAATGTTCTTTGCAACACTTGACTAATACTAACCCTAATGTGGACACATAGTATTGACCTGGAAAACCATATGAAAGAGTGTTGACCATCAATTCCACTGAGTTCCTCTTAAATTCTAATATTCAAAAGCGAGACTTGGTAGATTTCACTGTGTTAAAGGGCCATTTTGTACATTTTTCATATTGTAAATATCTCAGTTAGAACTTTATCAGCCGCATTTGAAGTTGGCTCCTCTTATTTCTAGATTTAGTTGACAGTTGTTGGCATACTATTTCTGTCTGTTAACTGGTTGAATTAAGGATTTGCATGCTGTCATTGCAGAATTCTGTTTTATTAAAGTATGTCTCTGCTTCTTGTTGGAGGTTTATCAGTAAAAATGAGATTGATTGAAGGAAACACAATGAGGCTGGTATGTTATGATGTAAATTCTGCAACACTTTGCTTTTAATGAAATACAAATCTTGTCATGGAGTACATATATAAAGGGTAAGGAAATGGGACAAGTTAATACACATTGTGCATTTGGTGCAGTGGATAGAATAAATACTGTAGCTCTACTGAAACATCCATTAAATGACCCATGTCTTCTTTTTTTTTAATTAAACTAAGACACAGTTAGGTGGATTTCATAATGTTTTCCCTGATTACTCAAAGAGCATCACTAATAACAGGGATGGGATAATAATGAGGTGCTGCTGGAGGACATGTGAGGACCTGACCGGCCCAGTGGTGGGTCCTGGCTGCAGGGTCTCTGGAGACAGACAAGCAATTCCTCACTGATTGTTTGACACAGAACTCAGCAGCTTCCCCCCGCTGAGCTGATTGCGTTGGTCCAGGCTGCTTCTCACAGCACGCAGCGCTGCTGCTCTGCAGGGTTTAGTAACTGCTGAGAAGTCAGCCTGCATAAAATCTAAGATAACACAGCAGCATATAAAATAATAGGCCCTCTATAGCCAAATAAAAATTCACACTTTAGCGTCTGGGGTTTAATTTAGTTAATATTTGAACAATGACTAGACAAATGTTAACCATTTTAATATTCAGTTACATTGTGAATATTGAATATGGTCATTTGGTCTAGTGCCACTCAAAGGTAGACAGGAGTGGAAACATTATTATGTCTTACTGAATGTGGATTTGACCTTATTTTTTAGCCTGTAAAACTCTGTACGAAACTGAGGGTTCACCGCAGCATATATTATTGGGTCACTCAGTGAAGTGATGCAGGCAACAGACACTGACAGGATCTCCACATCCTGAATGATCTTTATCTGAAAAAAATAATAAAGAATTTAAAAAGTGTTAGAGGTCATTTGATAGACTTCGTGTAAAGACTATCCACCTATAGAACAGGTTTTCATCCCTGGGTTCATAGGTCATAAGAATATATATATATATATATATATATATACGTATAGCATATAAATATACTATATATAAATAATTAGCTATATAATTAAATTTACATTTACATTAAATCAAACAAATATTTGTGTATAATTCATTCTGGCCCTCCCATGCTCTTGGAAATACACGTTAAAACATGTCAAACTCAAAGTTACATCTTGTGTCAGGAGGATTTTGGGACCTTAAAGTGAGTTCAGGGGTCATAAACAGTGCAGGAGTCCTTCCTTCAATTATAAGAATACAGATGTTCACCTACTACAAACAAAAAGTTTGTCTTACACTTTTTCACTCACAAAATGCCATTGAATGTTGCATCCTTACCTCTACAAACACTTACCCGTGTATTTCTGTTTTTGCGAACAAAAAAATTCACCAGGATAGTTGTGATCAGTGGCAGCCAGAATAAAAGGAAGGTTACAATGATGTAGCCGGCACGCTTGGCCATTTTACCTTCCTTCTTCTTGTTCGCTCTATCTTTATTCGCTTTTGAAGGCATCATGCAAACAGCCCCTTCTGCCTCCACATTTTGTTTGGGAGCTTCTGTTTCAGGAGGGTTGCCTGACACCGGAGGTAATGAAGACACTTGATCCACTGTAGTAACAGCCAGTGTTTCTCCTCCATTGCTGTTCTTTGCTTGTTTTGGTTCAGTCACTGAAACTACAGCGCATTCAGGATTTTCTAACTGTGCAGACGTGTTAACTTTGGGCCTGGTTTCTTTCATTTCAGAGGGTGCTTTGTCAACTTTCTCTTTGGACTGGCTTTCTGTGTTGAAATTGCTTGACACCTTCTGTGGCTTTGTGTTTGAGCTCTCACCGCTGCCAACAGCACCTCCATTTGATGGTTTTGCTCCAGCTCTTGTAAGACAGGGGTTGGACTGCTCCATTTTAAAAGGTTTCTCTTCAGTCTGCACTGCAACCTGCATCGCAGGAGGGCAAGGTTGTTCTGTTTCCAAGTCAGTTATCTCCACGGTATTTTTTAATTCTTTCTTACATTCTGAACTGGAGGCACATTGTGCAGCTTTTCTCGAGGTCAGCAGAGCAGTGGAGGAATCTTTCTTTGATGAGTTTGGTTCAGCTTGTGTCACCAGCTCCACCTGAGCAACATTTTTGTTCAGGGTCTGCTTTTGCTCAGAGTTTGCATTTTCCACAACTTCTTCTTTCTTCTTTTTATCCTCAGTTTTTTGCTTTTTAGAAAGTGCAAATGTACCTTTGTCAAATATTTTGCGATTGTGCGACCTCACAAGGAGAAATATTCGAGCGTAGAATCCAATGATAACACCAAAGCAAGCTGCCCACAGTGGGAACAGCATGTAGAGTCCAAAGGTGTCATATGAGGATGATGTTTCTCTCTGTGATCCTTTGCATTTCATGTGCACGGGTGAGTCCTTTACAAATATGAGACAGAAAACAGACATCAGAATAGCCAAGGTCCACGTGAGAGGAATCAGCACTGTAATCCGTTTTTTTCGTTGACTGGTTTTGAAGGGTTGTGCAATAGCCTGGTATCTCTCTGCACTTATGCATGCCAGTGTTAACAGTTGGATACAGCAGCTGAAAGAGAAAGAGGCCACTTGTGCATCACAGATCGACTCTCCCACATTTCCTCTTTGATGCAAAGCCATAACAATGGTCAAGAGAATAGGGCAGTCAATCACACATCGCAGAATGTCTATGATCGCGAGATTAACCACCAGCGCATTGTTCCAAGTTTGCAGTGATTTTTGGTGATAAACTGCCAGAATCACAAAAATATTTGCTGCAATTCCCACGACAGAAGTTGTCAACAGAATCAAGCTGTTTGCCACGACAAAGGTGATGTCAATGTATTTCTCCCAAATGGTGCTGTTCCCAGAGTCCCATGCAGGCAAAGGCTCGGCTCTCATCTCCAAGGTCAAAGAGTCAACATGTTTACTTCTGTATCTTCATCCTGGATACTCTGAGCGAACATACATTAAGGCAAGTGATTCTCCTCTGAATGAATGATATTAATGGGTGAAACTGCAGCTTGGACAAGTTACACCAAAAGTATCCGCCCTTTTCATTATCACTCCACAGCACCAGCGGGTCACCTGGGAGTCTTCACATTTCACATTCATTAAAAACTGTGCTGTGTATTCACAGCAGAGACAACTGGGAAAAAAAGGATGGCTGTTAATTGAAAAGCATATACGTCACTATTGTCTCAATCCCGATGCCCATCTTTAAAAAGCAGCTCAAAGATGAGATGCAGTGGATTTGCACTAAGGTGCATAGACTATGAATATGCATGTGAATTAAACAGCTATCCATTTCATTAAGTACAGTAGCCTTCCTCATAAAGGTTAAAAGCTTTGTATTAAGCATGCCAGATGGATAACTTGGGAGTTCTTGAATTGGCTCAGGAAATAAAGGGAGCCGTGCTGCTGGATTATAGCATGACATTGTGTAATCCTGTTTGGAGATAAAGTGTGAAATGCTATTTGCTTGAGATGTACAAGCCTATGGACTATGCCAAATCTGGGATTAGATCAACACAATACATTTTCCTCTTGACCATCCTACATGTTAGAGTGATTGAATGTCTCTCAAAATCAAATAGATTCAAAAACAGGAAGTTCTGGAGAAGAAAACTCGTGAACCCATTCAACAAACTTCTTGGTGCAAACAAATAAACTGTACATATTTTAGGACACCATAAACAGAGGGAACATCATAAGCAGCTTGTGATGATAAAAATGTTGAGGCAAAGGAGTAGTTGTAAATGAAAAACACTTTCTTTATTTAGAATTAGATTCTCATTTACAATATTTACATCAAGCGTGTTGAACAAGTGGGAGGGAACAGGACAAAATAAGAAACTGAACAAAAATTCACCCTGACTTTTTTTTTTTAACCAATCTAAACAAGCCAAACATATCTCCAAAAGGACTATTCAAAAGACTGCAGTGAGGGCACCTTAGTGGGCAGCCTGGTGTGTGTGCAGAAACAGAAATCCCATATGTGTGCATAGTGTATAGTAGAAGGCAAACCAAACTTACACACAGATTTAACAACAGCAGAGGACAGCAGTTCAACAAAGTCAGAGAGAGTGAGTCAAGAGAGAATGAACTCTCATGATGCTGACTGTATTGTCCTTGTGTTGGCTGTGGATTGGACAGCTGGATCTCAGTCTCACCAATGAGAGACTGATCTTCCTTCCTCTCTTGCTTATTTGCTAACAGGTATGATCAGCTGATCATACCTGTTAGCGAATAAGGAAGAGAGAGGGAGGAAAAATTCACATGGAACAAAATAAAAAATAATGCATGATGACTTGCAAATGACTTTGTCAGTGTTTGAAAAAAAAAAAAAGCCAGATTCTCTGACATTATTATAAAGGCATATTTTGTTATCATGAAAGGTTCATGGTTTAATAAATGTAATAAAATCATTGCACCAAAAAGAAAAGTATGAGCCAAATAAAATAAAGTAAAGCAGCAAATAATAAACAATCAAACAAAATCATAATCCTAGTGGCTAGCATTAACTCAACAGCTAAAATTTGTCTTTTCATTTCATCTTTATTCTCTGATGCACAGTAATCTTCATGCTGGTGACTCAGTGTGGGCTCAGGCGTGTGCCATGTGAGACACGATGTCCTGGGTTTGAATCAGGCCCAAAGACTATTTCATTATGTCATCTTTCCCCGAACTATCTAATCCCCCTCTGAACTGTCTGCAAAGATTTAAAACTGCAAATAATAGAAATACAGAGCTGCCCGACCACAGAGCAGGCTAACCCAGAGAAATGAAAGTCTTTTACTGCCTGAATCACTCACTCACTCATTGTTGAAAACAGGTGTTGTTCAGGGTGAACAAGTGCATCCAAATTTTGCCATGATTTTTCCACTGTGATTTTGTGGGAATTGCAAAACGATTTGAGCACATTACATTGCCTTTGGTGTTTCCCTTCAACTGTAAAATAATTGTACTGATCAAATCCTGCATTCACACAGGTGCTTGTCTTTGAAATGACATGTATATACACGGCAGCAATGTAATATTGTGTTTTGTGCTGCAGTGGAAATTGTGTGTTGGCTAAAGGCAGGACTTATTGCATAATCCCTAATAAGTAAAATTATTTGGCCTTGCTGTCACTGTTGACGGGATGATAGAGCTGGCTACTGTTGACTTTAATTCTGTGTATTTGCATAATAATGTTACATAGGCAGAGGTGCTGTCCAGTATATCTTATATAAAATCAGAGCACTGGTTCCCAGAAAAAGGCCTTGTAATATAAAAAGAGTTGCAAAGTCTATTATAGGTATGAATCAATATTTCATTATGCAACTCCCTGAAAATGTTAATCACCTATGTGATTTTCACAAAGTAGGAAGTGTTTTCTCACACTACACAAAAACAGCTCCAATGCATTTTATTTGAACAAAAGGTCAGGGGTCAAAGTCCGGGGGGCCTGTGACTTGCCCAGGCTTGTTAAAAAAACAAATGAAAACATTAATTTCAGCCAGTGTTTTCTGTTCTTTCAAGATCTCCAATCTTTTTTTTGGCTATTTTCCCACATGCACACACACCTGCAAACACCAATATGAAAAAGGTAACAGTTTATTGATCTAAACAAATCACAGAAATAAAACCTACTACAGTACACCCTGCAATATAATGCTGTTCAATAAAACGCCAAGACAAAGTAGTCTCAAAAAGAGATTAATCAAAACAACGGATGAACAAAATAAGCACTTATTTTCAGTGGTATTGGATTGGATTGTATTTCTGCATATACTAAGGTTTCCCTGTTGTTTGCTTCACCTTCTGATTCAGCTGTTAAGTCTCTGTGCTGATTCTGTTCTCATCTGGCTACAGTGAAGACCTCTCTGAAAGACACCAGCCTGTGGATGTGCAGGTCTGTGTTCGTGATGATGCACCAATACTCTGACAACCATGGCAGCGTCTTTGTTTTTTTTTGCTGGAGAAAAGTCACAGAGGCAGCACCTTGCTGTGCGTGTTGACACTCCTGCTTAAGGAAGTTGGGGTCCTTCTGTTCAAGGTGCGCATGTTGATGCTGACACTGGTGGGCCCGTGGGGAATGTAGCGGCCGCATGACAGCACCTCCAGAGCGGAGTCGCGGAACTGTTAGAGATAAAAACGCATAATCATCTCATCAGGAAAACATGTGAGCGTTCATTTCAGACATTAAGACATGCAAATCTGTATATATGTTGTGTTTTTATCTTTGTCCACCCTCAGCCTTTGCATCTCTCTCATCTCCACAGTAGATACAGACTTCAGCTGCTTACCTGCTTGTTGGAAAGGAAGTAGATGATCGGATTATACACAGGGCTGGTCTTGGCAAAGTACATGGGCATGGTAGCGACCAGTGGAGGGATGTAGAGCTCTGGATCCACAACTACCACCACTGACAACGCCGTGTAGGGCAGCCAGCAGACAAAAAAAGCTATAATCATGGCCAGCACCATACTGATGGCATGATCATTCTCCTTTTGGCTGGAGCGCCCACCCTGTAGCTCCACACTCCTGTTCAGCTATGAGTGGAAAACAAATATGACCCCCATTAAAAGCTGTTTTAGTCTGTAGGTGGTAGATTGCAAACAGATGAGGATGGAGGTGGGAGTTTTAAATCTTGTTTTAATGGTGTAAACGTGTGATAAATATGCAGAAGGCATACTAAGCCCACCTTGCTCATAGATGTGAGCACTTTGCAGTAGCAGTAGATGATGACTGCAACAGGGAAAATGAAGCAGAGGAGCGTGTAGAGGATGAGATAGCTGTAGTTGCTCCATGATCTCTCCTCCCATGCCAGAGAGCAGGAGGTCTGGACTCCCTCGGGTCCGTAGGAGCTCCAGCCGAATAAAGGAGTCACAGCCCAAAACAAGCAGAAGACCCAGACAAACAGAAGCCCGATGATGCTTCTCCGCATGCTCAACTTTAAACCGGCTCTTGACTTACACACAACATTGTAGCGCTCGTAAGCAAGCAGGGTCAGAGTGCAGAGAGACACCAGGCCTGGGAGAGCAAAACAAATGGAAGAAAAAAAAAATCTTAGCTCATGGTCCAACCACAGACTTTATCTGAACATTTTAACTGCATTTTAAGGTCTTTCTTAGGGAATGTAGTTCACTTAGTTGTCATGAAGAGAATCCGAAACGTCTCCATAACAACTGAGCAAACTCCTTTCACAGAGAAGACCATGAGATGTTGTTGAAAGCTCTGGGAAAAGCAAACAATTGTACCTTGGATTACAATTTGTTTTGTTTCCAAAGTCAATATTAAATTCTAAGTCCAAATAAGCAACATAGCATTTGAAAGATGTGATATGAGGAGAAAGACCAAAAATCACCAGGAGGCACAGAGCATGAATATTTTTTGTAAAGCTATAATTCATTCAGTTATAAACTGAAGGAACAATACGGTGTCTTTTCACCCTAAACTGTGGTATCTTATGTTTCACATGGGTTTTATGACCTCCAGGCACAGAGAAAGCAACGTTCTCTTGAAGTCTCAAAGGTCATTACAAAACAAACTCCTGTCTCATCTCCACTTACCAAAATAATTGACAGCAAATCCTTGAAACACACAGGCTGCGTGTCCGATAAAGAAAGAGCCTTGGTAGTTAGTGATGGTGACGACCAGCGAGCCGCACAGGCCTATCATGAGGTCAGACACAGCGAGACTGAGGATGAAAACGTTCATAGGATGGAGAAGAGACGGATTCCTCAGCATCACGGTTATAACGAGCCCGTTGTTAAACACTGACAGGACTGTGTTGATGAACATGAGGAAAGAAAGTATACTGTAGCCCACCCGAGGGAAGATGGTGGGCGCCACCGTCCCCATCTCTTCGGGGATGTATGGATGGTGAGAGCCGGAGCTCCACGGCTTCGTGCTGTTGCTGTCCATGGTGCCTAAAAGAAGTCCAGGAGAAACAAGTGTGAAGCCAGAGACTGAAGCCACAGACACTGTGCTCAACTAAGGACACCGCGTCATCGATCTTATCAATTCTGATCCATGTTTAACCATTCGGCTTTTCTTATTTCCATTTCTCAGATTGAGCACCTGGTCTGATAGAGAAAGCCCCAAATGCAATATGGGAAATTGGTCCGTAACACGATTTGGAGGGATTAATCCCAACAAACCCGCTGCTGTAATGCTAATTGGAAAGTTGAAGAGTTATTAACAGTGGATCAATTAGTCCTCGAAATGAATTTTCTTGTTATGAAATATTTCTTCCTGTTGTTGGTAAAAGCACAGCACACAAGTGGACTACAAGTTGAATGAACACACAACTGCAAATTGAATCTAATCATGGTACAATTACCCAATCACCTCAAGTAGCTTCACATTAATGACACAAGCAGTGGGCTGGGAACATTGAGCCATTTCCATTTTAATAAATAGTGAAATAAAAATACACTTTATCAAGACATATTTAAAACTACAGGAACAAATAAAGAAAAGAAGCCATGAGGTCTTGGTTGTGGACACTGGTATTAAACAATTCCCTTTTTCCAAATTCATTAAAAACTAAAAAGATGCCAGCTTGTATATGAAATATATATATATATATATCTCCAGCTTTCACTCACTTTCGCAAAAAAGTGACAAACCCACAGAACTCAATGCTGCCTGGACAGATCAAACAGCAACACCCATGCTAAATGCAGCAATAATGTTCTATATTTTCCTGACAAGTATTACAATTTCTCTTCTGCTAAAATGAAACATACAGGCTGTGTTTTGTAAAAATGATTAAAACAAAAATATCTGACAATCAATGTGCAATGTGCATCACAATGTGCAGTTCAAAATTAAATGAACTAAAATGCTTGTTGGCAAAGTCTGAAAAGCTTGATTACCTTCATTTAATATTAGGCTATTAAAAATATATACAGTACATAGCAGTAATGTGAACATGAGATTAAGGCAACAGAGTTTGTAATGTAAATGTCATGTCAGTATTTCACCAGTAGCTAGTCTCTTACAGTTTTACAGATGCAGAGGACAAAAAAAAGGCAAAGATAATCTTTAAAGAGATTGTACAGTTCATACTAGAGACCTATTATAGACTTGATGTGAGACTGCCCCTTATTGTTTAAACTGTGTAAATGCATCATTTTAGCGTAATCTCGCACTACAAACCTCCCTCTCCCTCAAACAAAGACACACACACACGCAAATCCAAAACAATCAGTGCTTTCAAGTTTCCAAATTCCAAATAAAGATTTAAAATACAAAATATGCATTTTTCAAATTCAATAATTGAATTGCTTGTTCTGTCATGTGGCATTTGGCTTAAAAAGCACAAAATCCACTGAATTCTTTGACAGGATATACATAACTACTAGTTTAAAGCTTAATAAACATCAACAATTTACATGATTGTAACCAATTATACATAACTTAAAGTGTGGCATGCATCTTCTAAAATGCCATATCTCAAAACTTGAAAAAAAAAAAGAGTTAAGTTTAAATCAGCAATGGAGATCAGTCAATCTGAACAATGCCTTGCCCTCTCTCTAATCGGACCCTGCTTTGGTCGTGTGGAACTGTGAGGAGACACTCAGGCCAGCAGAGCTGTGTTCAGGCCAGAAGGGCGACTCGTGCTGCAGGGGAGTGCGGCGGGGGAAAAAGGTGTGCTGGAAGTCGTAGTTGAGCAGGCAGCTGATGGAGGCCATGTAGATGTCAGCAAAGCGCGACAGTCGTCGTGAGAAGTAAGTGGGGTTGTGGTATGTTCGGAAAAGACTCCCAAACTGAGCGTTGAAGATGTCCTTCGTCTGTGGCCTGCCATTAAAAGACATTCATACTTTAAGCACGTGGGTTAGATCAGATCTACAAGGGCTCAGTAAATGTTCAAAGTCATGAATGCCAAAGAAATTATCTGCATTACCTCATGGCTTCTCTTTCTCGGATCCACTCGTCAACAACAGCTTGAGATGCCGGGTCCCTGTGCACCTGTTTGGGAGCAGTGCACAGAAGTTAAGCATAAAGAGTTGAGCTTAGAGGCAGAAAGAAAAACAAAGAAATGCTGCACATAAGACCTGACACAAAGGTTTTTGTTAAAGTTCTTGACCTGCATCTGTTCAATAAGTCCAGTCAGTGCCTGTAACCAGGTCATCATGTGCACATACTGCTCCGTGTTCATAATCTTGATCTCTTTCCTCAGCTCAGGGATGATGGCCCCTGTTCTCCAGCCATGTTTCAGCGTTAAATCCTGCACAACAAAGTACCAGAAGACCAGTCTTCAGCTACAAAACACTGAATACAGCATTATTTGTCAATGATTAACGACTTGTTTGACTGGAAGTCTGTGTCTACATGCAAGAAATAATTAAGCAATAAAAAAAAACACAAGGGATAGCTATGAATCACACTCCAGAGTGTCAGGCTTAAGGTACTTACATACAGTCAAAGAACTATTGCATACTCAGTTGCTTTACACAGTGCTCACAACCCAACATACAGTCAATGTAGTTGCACAGATGAGAGTGAAGAAAATAGACTTCAAGCCTCAATCTGTTAGGTAGCAAACAGCAAGTTAAAACCAAAGTGTGTCTGTTCTATAGGACAAAACTGAAATGGATCAAAGTAATGACGACATCCTTTTCTGTTTCGTGTTTTTAGATTCTTTTATCAAAGTGTATAAAGAAAAAATAAAATATCGCTCCATCCCTCCCTCCCCTGTGACGCGTTTGCTTCTGCTCTTTGTCCACTTACAGTAATGACCTCGTCCTACAGCCTGTGAGGCTGACTGTTAGCTGTGGTTATAGTAAACCACACACGCCATATTCCATCTCCTTAAATAAGCAAGATGGAGATATTTGATATGTAGCAAGATGTAAACTGTTTTCATTATCACCATTTACAGCAGTTTTTACAATTCACTGTGCTGCAATGAGAAAAAAATATGCTAGTTTGTTTGTTTAGTGCAAATGAGGGGCAACTGTCGGCAAGTTGCTAGGTTACAGGTATAAAAAAGGTAAATCAGGTGCAGTGATAGTCACTACTGTGGATGTGGTAGATGTAATATATCAGGAGAAGCTGACACTCATTAACATGTCTGTCAGCCAATGCAGAGCGGCAGTAACTGGTTTAAATACATTCTCAACCCAGTTATTTTAGTATCATTATTCTATTTCCTGCAGATTCAGATTGTTGTGTGTAAAGATGAACTTCGTCTTAAAGCAAGCAATAAATAAAGCAGGGCTCCCCTCTGTGTTCTTAATATCACAATCTTTCGTACCACACTGTTTTGTGTAGCTGTTATTAGCCCTTTGTTGAACATATGTCTGGGTACTGCTTACTGCCAAGTCGCTGTAGATGTGATCACCAAAGTAGAGCACTTTGGATCCTCTCCAGCCTGTGAGTCTCAGGAACTCATAAAGGTTTCCCTACAGTGAAAAAAAATTAATTAACCATGTGTTTCATCAAGGTGTGTGCTGGAGTGATTTTCTCAGAAATTTTTAACTTGCATGACATGATCATTTCCTGTCACCACACCTGTTTGTAGATCTGCCCCTTTTCCAACTTGTGAATCCTGTCCCACAGCAACGCACCTTTGTCAGTCACTCGCCTGAAGGGTCTAGGAAAAGATACACAATCCCTTATAATATCCACAAACTCCAAATCACACATACACCTATGCACATTCTGTGTACAAATAATGCACAAGGTCTATTGGTGACCGCAAGTCCGTGTGGTCCAGGGGGACCCCTAGTGGAATGCAAAAAACATAGCATGGACATGGTATGAGCTGCGGACACAACAACACACTTACTTTCTCCTGTCATTGAAGAAACCAGGTTTGTCGGCCTGAACAATAACAACATCAAACAGGTCCCTCCAGTCCTTCCCTACAATGTAGCTCATTCCTCGGTCCCTGAGGAAAACAAAGATTCAAGCTGTTACTTTGTCAGCAACATCTTAAAGCTCATCATGAGGGTACAATTACAAACACTTGAGCTGACAGTGTTTACAGCACAGAGTGATAGTGATGCAACCACCAGCAATAATATGTCCATTTTTTACTGTTAGTGTGATGTTAAACAAAAATCAATGAAACTGCCCTGTTATTTTAAATCTGGCTTTGGCATGTTTTGTTGCTGTGCTGACTGAATGTAACAAACTATGAAATCAAGCACTTGAGTTTCCTGTCTTTGGGTAGTGGGAGGCCTTTCAAGATTGCATAGATATAGCTGGTCATGTTGTGCAAAAGAGAATCACAGGCAATGACTTACAACGAATAACAAATGCGTGTGAACAGAAAGCCCTTTGATGTGTGCATATTTCTGCCCATCCATAAAAGTTGGGGGCATTATGCAGAAGCGCTGATTAAATATTTGTACACCAGTACATGGCATTTTTAATTAACCATACCGGCAAACACTTGCACTCCGTTTGCTCACACTTACACAAAGTCAAAGGGACTATTGGTAATGAGGAACATCTTTTTTCCATGCTCTGACAGCTTCTTCAGTACAGCATGGCTTTGCTCACCATAGCAAACATATTTCTCTGGGAAATGAGAGAACAGAGAGAGGCAGGGAAAAAGAGGAAGAGGGAAGGGGTGGGGTGGGGTGGGTGGTATTGATATAATTTGAGCAAACAAAACTCCGCTTTTTGTTTATACATCACAGCCTCATTATTTCCAAATCAATTTTTTACGTCTTGGCAACAACTCAGATGTGGCCGTACAATTTCTTTTACATCAGTTCAAACAGAGTAATATGAATCAAAGAGCATTACCAATATCTGCCTCCACAGCTCGGTACATAATGCCCTTGACGTGAACATCTCTAATGGCTTCCTGTGAAGATGAAAAAGTAAACAGCCCTCAGTCAGGAAGTCTTGACTTCAGTGACACAATATTAGCAGTCAGATCTCGTAGCAACACTTTGTTCTGTATATAAATGAATGATTGGAAGCACAAAGAAAGTGCATCTTTGAATACAAATTAAACCTGAAGAAAGCAGACCCTGGAGTTTAGTTACTTTGGTGACACAGAGAAAAAGTTTCCGGCACATTTTCAACAGTGCTTGTGAATCGGTTAATGGTAAATCAAGCTGAACATTTAAGGGCAAACTTAAAGGAAGTGTGTCATATACAAAGACTGTTTGAGCTTCAAGGAAAATAAGTTAAAAAAAGAATACAGTAAAAATAAAAGGGTTAATACTGAATAATGAATCAGGCTTGGCAAGAAAAAGGAAAATAAGGAGGGTGTCCTTGAAAAGATGTAAGAGGCACTCGTGGAACAGAGTGTGTGTGAGGGCTTTTAATGACAGCAATCTGTCAAAAACGCTTCAGTGTCACACAGAAGAGTCAAGACCAGCGTGACAGCTGCCCTCAAAGGGAGAACACAGCGCTGATTTCTCGCCCCTCTCCCTCTGAAGTAGCAGAGCCACCAGAGAGCAGACACAGATGGCTGGAGGCGGGCTTGCTCGACTAAAATTAGACGCCAGTTTTCAGAGCTAAAATTAAGACGGTATTGAATGGCTGGAGTATCAAGGCACACAGCAAACATGTAAATACATTAACAATCATGCACATGTGGCTGGATTTTATGTATTTACACACATACAGGCCTCAACCAGGGGTGAAGGAGAGTAATGCTCAGTCAATTTGTCACAATTTCCCTAAACAATAATGAACCAAGGGAGTATGATAAGAAGAGAGTTCACCTTTACGTCTTTGTAGAGATGGACTGGCTCATAGTCGATATTATGCCTCATGAAGAAGTCATTGACACAGGACAGCAGGGTCATCTCAGGCAAGGAGAATATATCCATGAACTGTTTCATGGTGTGGCCGTGTGAGCTCTGCCAGACAGTGACAAACATAATTATATTCTGTTGTTTATACCTATATCTGTGAACCTGTGTTAATACAGACAGATGTTGAAGTGTTCATCACCTTGCCATAGAAGTCGCTCATGATCTCTAGAGGTACGTGACAACCTTCATACATCGCAATGACTTCCTCATCAGGAACTGGATGAAGACCCCTTTAGGAGAAACATGAAATATTACAAGTGACACATATCTATATATATATATATTATTATTATTATATATATACATATATAACATTTTTAGCTGTCTACATCTGAAAAACTGTGTTATACTCAGATAGTGTTGTATAAATTTACACTTTACCCTCTACCCTGGTGTAATACATTGGACAGATACCTGTATACAGTTCCCAACTGGATGTAGTGGAAAGCATCTATCTTCATCAGCAGCGCCTGTTGCAATCATACACAAAAATGGTCCTCACACTAAGCTTACAGTTCAACATGTGCAAAATATTTTTAAACCAAATGTGTCAGTGTTTTCAAGTTCAATGAGAAAAGACCTCACTTTTTGAACATCATAGTGAAGTCCTCTTACAGCAAAATTTGGAATATACTCATACTTCCGCAGATCCTCTGGATACTAATGAACATTAAAAAAGCAGAGGTTAATATGAGCTTTTCAATGACAACATTAACAGATAAAGGAAAATATATGGTTATATATTGTCCTTCTATCTGCACCTGGAAACACAATGTGGTGACAGGTTAGTGACAGGTTTGAAAGAGTCACACACCCTGTGGTTAGTGATGAGGATGTCCCGGGCTATGTTGAAGATAAGGGTGTGGAGGTGGCTGGAGTAGAACGCCAGGGTGTAGTCATAGTCGAAGCCGTAGATCTCTATGTCTCGCAGGCTCATCTCATTGTTGGCAAAAATGGTGTCAGGGTTGACCGAGTTGGTGGATATGACTGGGATCAGATCTGAGAAGAGAGACACACTGTAGGTTATTCTGCAGTTTGTTTTCATTTGGGAATATTATGTTTTTATGACACAAAAGTCATGTCTTAGGACTGAAGCACATCTGATAACCACGTTTCTGTTCCACTTCTGTTTCTTAATTCTGCCGGCCTGTTTTCTCTTCTTAAGTTTCTGCTGGCACTTTCACAATCCTTTGTCCATAAACATTTGCACTGACCCAAGCAAATATTAGAGGTACATTTTTGTGCACATGATTTACTATTAAATTAGAATTTCATATTACTAATTGCTCATTTCTACCATGAAATGATCAGTTTAAGTGTACAATTAGTGCCCCAAAATGTGCATATTATGTTGGCTGCTAGTTTAAGGTACTGGCACCTTTTTAATTCCCATTCAAACACCCCTTCAGGAGGGGACAAAATAATAGGAACACCATAGCAAATAATTAAATGCATTACAAAATCACCACAAAGTTGAATTGACCCTTACCTGACACATTCTCAAACAAATCCTGGACAGTATACATGTCACAGTGTATTATTACATTATATTTGACAAGATTTCATGTTGTTGTGTTCATCGTAAATGCAAAATACTGTTCATATTTGGGTACAAACAAGTTAAAACAGTGGATATGGTTTTGAAATTGTGTTTAGAGTTTGGACAAAATAACAGAAAAACCTCACTACTACAACAACATCACCACCTACAAAAACATCTATAGATTTGAATTAACTAAAAATCAACATTTACGTGTTATAAGCAGCCTTAACTGCATGGCTGCTGCATTGGATTGCATTATATTTTACAGGTGTTGATGTTGTTTTGTCTATAACATTAATGTGTGAAACAAAGTATCATAGCCTATAGCTACAGTGTGTTATTTCCACGAAATTTGCAGGCAGGGCTGCTAATGTGAGGCTGTTAGAATAGTGGATGCGTTTTGGAAACATTAGTCATAACAGGGTTGTAAGGCAACAAGAGTTTTGTATTTACCGCAATGCTGTATCTTAATAAATGAATGGTGCCTCTGTAGTTTTATCAGAGTTCATACCTTCTGTCTGCCTTTTGGTCTCATTGTAAACAGACCACAGCCTCTCTGTCATGTCCTGACCGTCTGAAGAGCTGCTACAAACAGATGCTGCGTAGTTTTTGACTCTGGGCTGCTGTGACAGTAGTTGACCGACTCCATGGTGTACCGCACCGAAATTCCGTTTCCACAAGCAAGACCTGAATGGCCGGTGGTGTAAACCCTGTAAGACTTTACGGAAAACAGCCGCCTTCAGCAGACAGTCCTTGTGTTTCAGGAGAGACGGCAGGGGCAATGACAAGGGCGCCATGGCTCTGTTCTTTGGGTGACGGCCCGGGTGTATGTCGCAGAGGACTCCAGGACGAGTGCATGCGGCTGACAGACTCCTCTGTAAATACCGAAAGTGTCTCTGGATGGTTGCTCTCTACGTCACATCCGTGTTTGGCCAGCCAGCGAATCAGAAGCTGGTAAGAGTTCAGTCTCTTCCTACTGTCCATTAAACAGCTGAGACAGTTACCAGATACATGCATTAAATATACATAATCCAGAAAACGATCCATTATTACACAGACCCGTTGTAATGTGCAGGTCAGTAGCTGAGCCGCATTAACCTCCCTGTACATGGCATTTTCATTATTTCTCTACACACCCGGAGACCCACCAGTAGGACTACTGTACAGCTGAAATGGTTAGCTGATTAATCGACTGACAAAACAAAAACATATTGCCATTAATTCTTAATTGTTTAAACCATTTAAAAACAAAAAATGTAAAAATCCACTGTTATCGACAGTGTTTTGACAGTTGCACGGGGAAAACAATTTGAATATGTACATTTGCTCTTCAGAGAACATTGATAAGTATGTATAACTATTTTCTGACATTTTAATCACAGAACAATCAATCAATTATTACAGGAGAAAACTGTCAGATATGTTGTTAAAGAAGATAATTGTTGGTTGCAGCCCTACAGTTCTCACTGTGTATTTCTGTGTGTTTTGTCACTTGACAAACAGAAAAAGTGGAAGGAATTTGTTAAAATACAACTTTACAGCAAATGAGGCCAAAATAGATGAAAACAATGAAGATCTAACTGAACTTTTACACATGGCCCCTCTACAAATATAGTTATAGCTGATATTGTACTTCACTGGTGCAAATTTCAAACAAATTTACGATTAATCAAATGATGTAGATCTAAATTAAATGAACTACAACTCGGACTTTGGGCCCCTTGGGTGCCTGGGCCAACTGGACAGTTCCCTTCTCTCTCTTCTCTTTGTTGGTCATCCAGCTTTGGCCAGAGGAGTTTATTCTTTCAATAGTATTAAAAGGATCCTCTTGGACATAATGGCAATGACAGAAGCCAAAACATAGATCAAATATTCCTGATGACAAAAGTAAAAATAATCATGGCAAGTTATGACTATTGCGTACAGCATTATTCTGACTTCTCACTTTTGTCATGGTAAATCAAAATTTATGGTACACACACCCCACCCTTTCACACCTATAACTGTAACTATAACTGCAATTTGACACTTGTAGCCTGATCCCACACAGTCGGATACACACCATTCAGGCAGGCTTAGCAAACAACACAATAATGTGCACATTTGTATGTTAATGTTATGCACTATTTATCCATCCAGTGGTGATTCCATTATGGCACAATCTCGGGCGTGTGTTGAGAGTAAAAATATGTGTTTGCAATCATCTGCATTTTCATCTGACTAACTGAACAGTGCCACCCGATGGAATAAAGATCAGAGGTGTACATGACATGTGCTCATTCAGTGCGTACCTCCAAAGTAGGAGATATATGACAACAGGGAATCCACACTTTTATCGGAAAGATAATGCAGATAGCCTAAATAGCCATGTGTACAGACAAAACACATACACGGATATAATGCTCCAGTTTGTGTTAATGGGGCCACAACCAAAAACCGTGTCTGTATCTACGTTGTCGTCAGGCTTCAATGTGTCACTTGTCTGTGACATTGCATAAGAAAATCAAAGTTTAAGCAACGTGTAGACAAAGATTTTTTTTCTTTTTTCTTTTTTTACTAGAGGTAAATTTTCGGAAGTGATGTGCTGATCATTCATTCTTGGCCAATGGTGTCCAGCCACGATTTTCGGGTATTGACTTATGTTGAAGAATCTGATTGGACGACATGTGCGGTGGGCTCGGCTGTGATTGGTCTAAGGTTGTGCGTGGTGCGCAGCCATTGGCTGGTTGTCACGGGTTTAAGAGAGTGGGCTCTTTTGGTGGGAGAGGCAGGTTGTCAGTCTCTGTTGTAAAGGCAGAGCTGCGTGCGCTGGTCCCCGGCTTTTGTCTGAGTAGCTGAAGAACCACTTCGCCATTCATCTCAAAATGAAACGTGTTTGGCTGATAGGTCTTCTCTTTGCACTCTTAGCCTTTGGTGAGTAGCGGGGAGATTTACTACGTTGTCTCACTTCTTTTTAAATGACCTAACATTGTAGCTAACAGGGTTAGCCGGTAAGCTAACGTTAACTTGCTTTTGTGCTTCTTCTCTGCTCGTTCATGACTGCAGACTTCATAGATTTGCAGTTTCCAAGTTTAATTTTATCCATTTGTCAATGATAGGCCGCATGATTTATTTGGCCCCTACACGTTTCTTAGAGCAACTGGCTAGTATCCGTTATTCCTAATTTCCTTTCCAGAAGTTTCTAGTGCCAACACCATGTATGTTGAAGCTGGCTGACGCTGGCTAACATCCCTATGAAAAACTGTTGCTGTTCCATAGATGCACGTCCATATATTAGCTTGTAAAAACCAGCCTACCTAACGTTACACCTTTCTTATTTGGTGATTCTGAGCATGTCTTTGCAGAGCTTCATTCTGATTGAGATAATCTTAAATGTTGGATATTTCCTCAGGTATTCCTGCAGCATTTAGTATGATTTTTATGAATCTAACAATCTTTTTCTCCCTTTGCAGCTGCTGTAAAGGCAGAAGATGAAATTGACATCGATGGGACAGTAGTGGATGACCTGGGTAAAAGCAGGGATGGCTCCAGAACGGATGATGAGGTGGTGCAAAGGTAGGTGTTACTTTCAATACATTTCCATATCACACCTGTTGAGTGAACTGTGTCTCTATCTGAGAAGGTCAACTAAACCTCAAGTTAACAGCACAAGGTCAGTGTGACCAAGCTTGTGCACACAAACGCTCAGAGCAACCTTGGAATTGTTACTGGCAGCAAAGCTTTGCAGGATTTATGGCACGTCCCTCATTAAGACGAGGGAATCTGGTGCGTGTTGCCTTTAACGTGGATACTGATCCCCAGAGGGGAGAACAGATTTGCATGTTGTTTATTGACAGCTGTGATTTCTTGTTGTGCACTCCCCCTGATCTCACGTGTGTGCATCTGTCTATCCTCAGAGAGGAGGAGGCTATCCAGTTGGATGGGTTGAATGCAGCACAGATTAAGGAACTCAGAGAAAAGTCAGAAAAACATGCCTTTCAGGCTGAAGTCAACCGTATGATGAAGCTGATTATCAACTCCCTCTACAAGAACAAGGAGGTGAGCAGGAATAAACAGTATTTTGATGTTCTATCAGCAGTATTGCAAGATAACTTCTTTACTTGTACGGTATGGCTTACAGACTGTATCAGGAAGGCCTAAACTAATGCTGAAATTGTTATTTTTGTCTGTTACAGATCTTCCTTAGGGAGCTGATTTCTAACGCCTCCGATGCTCTGGATAAGATCCGCTTGCTGTCTCTAACCAATGAGGACGCAATGGCTGCCAATGAAGAACTGACCATTAAAATAAAAGTATGCACAAGATATGGGGTGTTTACATTTACTGTATGTTGCAGTCTATATTGGTAATGTTAATGGTTCTTGCTCTGTTAGTAACTTCACTATATTGTTCCAAACCCCAGTCTGATAAGGAGAAGAACATGCTGCACATCACTGACACTGGTATTGGAATGACCAAAGAAGAGTTGGTGAAGAACTTGGGAACGATCGCCAAGTCCGGCACCAGCGAGTTCCTCAACAAAATGACAGAGATAGAGTCTGATGGACAATCTACCTCAGAGCTCATTGGCCAGTTCGGTGTGGGTTTCTACTCTGCTTTCCTTGTTGCTGACAAAGTCATCGTGACGTCAAAGCACAACAATGGCACCCAGCACATCTGGGAGTCTGACTCTAATCAGTTCTCTGTCATCGAGGACCCCCGTGGGGACACACTGGGCAGAGGAACCACCATCACGTGGGTTCACATTTTGTTTTTCCATTGCTAAAAGTCTAACAACTGCTGTTACTCTTATAGCCATTTACACTGCCCCTCTTTTTATCCTCCAAACTGAAAAGATTACATTTGTAGTTGCGGGAGAAGTGTCCATATAGCTACTAGCAATTAAGAGAGATTGTTAAACTGTAACACTTCAACTGGACCTTGTTACTACTCTAGTCTCAAATGTTAGAATAGTATTGACTTTGAAATTAAATCCTTCCCATCTTTTTCCAACCTCAGACTTGTCCTCAAAGAGGAGGCCTCAGACTATCTGGAGCTGGAGACCATTAAGAACCTCGTCAGGAAATACTCTCAGTTCATTAATTTCCCCATCTATGTTTGGGCCAGCAAGGTGATTACTTAAGACACTTCCTCCACACTTTTGACTCAGATGTGATCTCAGTATAGTTCTGTTATGAAACTGACAAATATGGAAATGAACAAATGGCAGTTACATAATTTCTTCCTCTCAACATACCAGACTGAGACAGTCGAGGAGCCCATCGATGAAGATGCTGAGGCAGCAGAGGAACCAGAGAAAGAGCCTGCTGAGGAAGAGGCCGAGGTAGAAGAAGAGGAGGAGGACAAAGACAAACCAAAGACAAAGAAGGTAGGAAGTTCGTTTAGGGCAGGTGATACGGGAAAAAAATAATACGACTGACTATCGAATGTATCTTGATATTAATGTTGTATTTTTATTTATTTGAAATTGTGTGGTGTTTGTGTTGCAGGTTGAGAAGACTGTGTGGGACTGGGAACTGATGAATGATATCAAGCCCATCTGGCAGAGACCAGCTAAGGAGGTTGAGGAGGATGAGTACAAGGCTTTCTACAAAACGTTCTCCAAGGTAGGGACCTGAACAGTATCGCTTTGTCAAACATCAGTGTAGGTTGTCTGCGTTCCTCGTGGGCTCAATTTTAGTCATTCAAACGATGTTATGTTCTCCAACAGGACAGTGACGACCCTCTGGCCCACATCCACTTCACAGCTGAGGGAGAGGTTACCTTCAAGTCCATCCTGTTTGTGCCAACTTCAGCTCCCCGCGGCCTCTTTGACGAGTACGGCTCCAAGAAGAATGACTACATCAAGGTATATGGCCTGAAC